GTAGTTCTTTGGGAGAGACACCTTATGCCCACAGTGGACCAAGGTACTTGGCCGTCTTGGCAATGCTGCGGTCTTCTCGAAACTTGATGCAAAATTGAAGTTTCATCAAGTAAGGCTATCGGAAAGCTGGCAGGAGCTGACTACCTTCCTAACACCGTTTGGACGCTACTGCTACCGCCGCCTGCCCTTCGGCATCACGTTCGCTCCCGAAGTATTTCAGCGCCAAATGTCTCGGATTCTAGAGGGCCTGGAAGGGTGTGTGAACATGGTAGATGACATTCTAGTATTCGGCAGGAGCCGTTCGGAGCACGACAGCAGACTCCAAGCAGTCCTTCGCAAGTTAGAACAAGCGGGCATTACGTTGAATGCCTCGAAATTCTCCTTCGGGATATCTTCCGTCAAGTTCCTTGGTGTAGTGGTAAGCGCCAGTGGCATCTCGGCTGACCCTGATAAGGTATCTGCTATTGTGAACACGAAGCCGCCGACAGATACGCATGGCGTCCGTCGTTTCCTGGGCATGCTGAACCACATTGAAAGATTTTTACCGAACCTGTCTGCCGTCACTACACCGATACGGCTCCTGTTGAACAAGAACGCGGTCTGGACCTGGGACCATGCGCAAGCAACCTCTTTCGAGACATTGAAGGGAATGGTGGCATCTAATGCTTGTATGGCCAGCTACAATCCAGAGCTACCCACCCTTGTGTCGGCAGATGCCAGTTCGTTCGGGCTAGGCGCGGTTCTCTTGCAGGAGCAACAGACGGGAGAGCGATGGGTTGTCGCGTTCGCGTCAAGAGCACTGACTACCGCTGAGCAGCGGTACAGTCAGATTGAAAAAGAAGCGCTTGGTGTCTCTTGGGCTATCGAGAGGTTTGAGGAATTCCTGCGTGGACTCAGCTTTGTCGTTGACACCGACCATCAGCCGCTCGTCAGGTTGCTTGGTTCCGCCGATCTGGACCTCATGCCCCCTCACATCCAAAGATTTCGCATAAGGCTCATGCGATATCAGTTCACAGTCAAGTATGTTCCAGGAAAGTACCTGGCCACGGCAGACACCCTCTCTAGGGATCTCGAAGGCTCTTCCACGTCCGAAGAGGACAGCACAGAAATTTTTGTGTCTCTGGTCGTGGCAGCCCTTTCTTCAACCTTGGCCGTACGTCTTGAAGACTTCAGGTCTCACCAAACTTCAGACGGCGAGTGCTCAATGCTGAAAGCATACTGTGAAAGGGTGGCCTCGACGAGACCATCTGCCGCTCAACATGATGCGTTACTGGGACCACCGGGGAGACTTCACTGTATGCGAGAACATGCTGTTCATGGGCGGACGCCTAGTTGTGCCCGCAGCACTACGCAGAGACATCGTGAACCTGCTGCACGATGGTCACCAAGGCGTCAATCGGTGCTTGGCGGTGGCCCGAGGGTCTGTGTGGTGGCCCGGTCTCAACAGCCAGGTTAAGGCAGCCGTAGAGAACTGCCCAGCATGTGCTTCTATACGCGTTCAACGCTGTGAGCCCATGATTGCGACCGAGACACCATCAGCTCCGTGGGAAAGGGTGGCCATTGACTTGTTTCATTTTGCTAATCAAGAGTTCCTGGTGGTTGTCGACTACCGTTCTCGGTACCCTGAGGTCCTCACACTCCGGTCCACTTCTGCGGGAGCCGTTATTTCTGCGATCAAGAGCACATTTGCCCGACACAGCATCCCAGTGACTGTTGTCAGCGACAATGGGCCACAGTTTTCCTGCAAAGCTTTTGAGGACTTTGGGAAGACATACGGTTTCACGCATGTCACGAGCAGGTCCACGCTACCCGCAGTCGAACGACGAAGCGAAGCGCATGGTTCGCACGATCAAGGAGTTGTTTCTGAAGGCCACAGACCCGTTTCTGGCTCTGCTAGCATACCCTAACACTCCCGGTGTGTCTGGCTACAGCCCGGCCCAACTGCTCATGGGACGCTCTCTGTGAACTCGTGTGCCAGCCACGGCTCAAAGCCTTGTTCCAGATTGGCCCCAGGTGAAAGAATTCAATGACAGAGATGCCGCCCAGAGACGAAGACAACAGAGAGACTACAATAACCGACACGCAGCGCATGACCTTCGTGCTCTCGACGATGGGGAGGAAGTCTGGGTGCGTGACACACGGGCAAGGGCGACAGTCCTAAGCCCGGCTCAGAGACCCCGCTCGTGCATCGTCCAGACGCCCAGTGGCATACTAGTGAGAAACCGCAGACACCTTGTCCCCTGCAGCAATCCTCAGTCAGCCCCCTCAGATGAGACGGGAATCCCCAACCATGCGGCCACGACATCGGCGCCGTCTCCCGGACCACAGCGGGCAGCAACCGGTAACGCATCAGACACTTCAGCTCCTGCACCTGCTGCAGGATCGCCAGGTCACCGTTACCCACGATACGGCCGGCGCATGGTGCCACCTCGGAGACTGAATTTGTGAGACTGCTGCAAGGACTGTTTCTTGGTGGTGCTCTTTTGGAACACTTGTGTTTGAGAGCTCCGGAAGGAGGGATGTAGAGGACGCCACCTGTTGCTTCTAGTAACTGGGAGGTGGCGCCCCCACTCTGTATAAAAGGCATAGGTGGGCATTAAATGGGGCTTTTTGCTGTTTGTGAACTACACGTTGTCGGGTCATTCTTCGCAAGCTTCACGCCCACTTTTGGCTCGGCTAGCGGCGTCCGCGCTACCTGGGCACGTCACTACAATTTATGCAAAATTTAAATATTCACTTTTGGGCCAAGTGCACTTTTTGACATTGCAGAGTGCATTGAAAAAATGGCCAATCTCTTTCTCTCTCTCTTTTTTTTTTGCATGTGTGTGACGAACATGCGGCATGGGGAATCTTTTCCTTCATTTGAAGAAAGCCTGCGAAATATAAAATAAAACCACATAACTGCAATTGGTGCGCTGCTGTACTGTAGCGCTCTCAAATGTGCTTCAAGTGAGAGAACCAGCGCATGAACCGTCAGCCTATCGCTTCTCAGGGATGGTGGTGTTAGCTTGTTGCGTGCAACCATCAGAAATGTTGACGCACTGTGGAGCTATTTCCTATAGCAGCGGCTGCTCGTTTCATTACGGTTGATGTGGCAATTGTTTCACCCAGAGCACGACTGAGAGCGCAGCAGTACAGTAGCATGTGAAAGCAGTAAAATGGTTATATTTTTCTGGCTTCTTTGAATACTGAGAAAAATTACTACGCAGCATGTACGTTTTCATAAAAACTGAACTGCTCAATATGGAAGACTCTCCACAACGTAAGTAAATGCACTAGGCCTGAAAGTGAATATAAAAAGTGTGACATAGTTCACCCTTGTTAATTGTTGCACAACATCAAAATACTCAGACTGACATGCCAGTAAAACATGTCTGGTTTTATTCAATTTATGTGAATGGCCTTCTTGTTAATATTTGATTCTAGTTTCATAAGACATGCTGTTTAATCACTATACAGGTGGTCCTCATAAAAGCTGTGACAATAGAAAATTGACGAACCTATTTATGAAAAAAAGCGTAAAATGGCTTGTGGGGACGCTTATGAAAAAAACAAAGTACTTGATATTATGTTCCCCTTGTTATCATTTTTAAGATTCTCTCTTATCATCTCTAGTATTATAATGCAAACTCAATTTCATTTTTTTACTTAGTGGTTAGCAGAATTTCGTTACAGTGTGCCTTAGGCATGCTCAAATTACTTCATCTGTGTCCTCAACATCGCCTTGACGTAACAGTAAACTCAGATGACTGGTAGATGTGTAAATAGTAGCTAGCAATTACGCAGATAGTTAAAAAATACGAATAAAGTAGAGAATCTAGTTCAGCAGCACGTTACAAAAGGCATATTTGCAGTAAACTGATGGGCAAAAGCTTAATAGAGGTCGAGGTAATGTGTGAGATGTAAATGTAAGACAGCTAAGAAAACACTTGTGCTGTCAATCGAAAGATGACAGAAAAGGCTTCTTGAATATTTAACAGGGCGAACAAAAATACAGTACATCATAATATCTTCTGTTAGGTAAATGCCTGTTTACTGCTTCTAGCATCTGCACAGATGTTTAGCATGTTATTAGAATCTCATTTGCATATCTTAATCTCAACCCCTTTATAACAGTCGAGCATCGGGCAGCCATTCTTGTCTTTTACGAGGTGTTTATTATAAGCAGGGTACGACAAATGTATTTTCTTATCAACCCCTATTTCAAAGTAGGCACACTGGTGTCTCTTATACCCATTTGTCTCTTGCATCAGTGTCTCTCTTAAGGGGTTCAACTCTATGTGCAACCCTATTCTTGCACTCTTGAGACTTTGCAATGAAGTACCTCGAAAGGCAAACTTCGATAACACTATAGTGTCATCGGAATTTCAGTGAAAGAAGCCACACTCATTTGAGTGCGTAGCACAGTACAGTGGCTACAAACAAGTCTTATGGCACTGACACAACTATAAAGAAAGAAAACATTTATAAAATAAAAGGGCTGCTGTGTGTAGATGTTTGCACACTTGTTGGTGTTGAGATGACTCAAGCACCATCATGTGACTCTGCTTCATCAATAGGGGCACGTAAGCCTAATTATCTGTGCTCTCTAGAGCAGTATGCCAGAAAGATAATGTCGCTGGCGTTATTTTATTCAGATGGCTTAGTGGCAGCATTAACAATTTAAGGAGCATAGTTTAGCCAATGTTTGTTGTTTGCATGGTGATGTTTCTATAGCAGTATCTTGTATCTTAAGATGCATGATACATTATTGAATGTATTAGAAATAGAGTTACATACACATGTTATGAGACATATTGTAATACAGATACAGTATATCCAAAAAGTGCCTAAGAAACATGCATCTTAGATATTGTCAAGCCCTGGGGCCACAGTTGTGCAACATGCTCAAGTAAAAAAGGCCATTGTACCACAAAAGCTCTTCATTATGCTACAAAAGCTCTACTTGTAACCTTGTGAGTAGGGCTGATCCTCCTGTTTACATTTCTGCTCTTGCACAGAAAGAAAATTTGTAGTCAAGGAAAATCTGGAGCTTCATAATGCCATGCTGTCCCTGAATGACTTCTTCATGAAGCCAGGAAACTTTAAGTATGTGGACTCAAATGTCGTGCCCAAAGTTGGTGAAGTGTATGGGCTGGAGCACACCGTTGGCCATTTCCGAAGGGTCTTGGTAAGAAAATGTTCATTCTAATGTTTTTCATCCTTGTCAAATGGAACAGGCTTGTGATAACTGTGTGTTGTTCATAGGTGCTTTCAATTACGCCGAAGAAGTCGGCTCCTGCCAGCATCACTGTGTTCCACATGGACTATGGCGACAAGTCAACTGTTGCTGCAAGAAGATTGCTTCATCTGCCAAGAGAGCTAGCTAACCTGCGGCCATTCATAATGGAAGTGTTCTGCTGCCGTATCCAGCCTCAGGACTGCGACCTCGATTGGACTTTTCAGGCTAACCACAAGTCATACGAGCTTGTTTTGAGGAAAGAGCTTCTTGGCAAGGTAAAAATTGTCTTCACACTTTCATGTTAGGGCTCTGTAGCATAGATAATTATCAAGACTTTTAAGTTTGTAGGAGCCTATTGTAATTCCTAACATCCTGTTTTTGCAGTTATCTATTAGATGACTATGGTTAGTTGTTGTTGGTACAGCATGTTTTTTGCAGCCCTTTTTTAAGATAGCGTAAAAACTGAATACATGTGACAGTAACTGAAGGAACAAAAGAGGGTTATGCTATATAGGAGCTTGTTTAAATGGCATAGATGCACATACTTTTTCAGATGGGCCTACTGATAAGATAGGAAGCCGAGGAAACAGGCACGATTTGTTTTGACAAATTTGTCATTACTGACATTAAACTTGAATTCTGGATCTGGTCATGAACGGTGACTGAGTGACCGTTGGCAACGTGCTACATGTATAATTTCTTTAATTTATCTCTGAAATTAGTTGCGACTCTGACGCCTCTTAATGACCCTTATATATTACACCAGTGCTAAAATACCGTGCCTGCATATAGCTCGGACCTGCATATAGTCTGGGGCATGTTTTGGGGATAGCAAACGTGAGAAAAAAGTTTTCACCCAAACATAGCCCGAGTAAAATGGAAAAATGCATTTATTGACACACTTCATTCTCAGTCGTCGTCGAACTCACTCTTCGGAAGCTCCCTTGTGGGAAATGTTTTCCTATAGCACATCATCCTCAGTTACATCAAGCGCGTTCGAGATGGAGCACTTTTTAACACATGGCAAACGAGCATGTCGGGAATGCAGGCCCAAGCCTCGACTATTTAAGAGCACTGTGCATAGGTGGCGAGGTCCTTTTGAGCCACCCAGCTGGGGTCACTTCTGGTTCTCTGGACCTCATCCACTCCACGTACAGGCGCTTGACATGGTCCTTATATGGCTTACTAAGGCACACATCAAGCGGCTGCAGCTGTGATGTCATCGCTCCCGGAATGACGATGAGCTTGGTGCAGGAGTCACGCATCAGTGGCTTTACGGAGTCGGTCAGGTGACACGGAAACCTGTCAAGAAAGCGTCGAATCTCCCCCAGCAGTGCTCCGGGCCATCGACACTGCACAGACTTTATCCAGTCAAGCACTAGCGATTCGTCCATCCACCCCTTGTCCTAGCAACGGACGATGACATTTTTTTGTGAACTTCCCCTTCAACAGCGTCTTTCATGTGAGCACCACGTAGGGTGGTAGCTTGCTACCGTCTGCAGTGCAGGACAAGTCACTCGCGTTTTTTCATGCGCAGTCGATCCCAGGATAACTTGCCTGGAGCCTTTGTGATGCACCGTGAGCGCCGAGGGCATATCCAGGTAGACCGGCGATTGATCCCCGTTGCCGATCTGGCCCAGCTGAAAGGGGACAGCCTTTCTCAATGAAATTACATACTTGTAAAACTTCACAAGGTCCCCTTCGTAGCTCTTTGGTAGCTTCTGTGAGATTAACGTACGTCGACGTAGGGAGAACCCAGCGCGGCGCACTAAGAGAGGCACTCAATGCTAGCTCACTTTGAAATCTTCCGGCTGAATGCCTTTGTCTCGGGCGATCTCCCTTGCCTTCGCTTGTAGCAGCTCAATTTTCACAGCGAAATATGCAGCTCACTGTTCCCGCACAAAGTGAGCGAGTTCTCGTTCTACGTCAGGAAATTCTCCATTTTTTTTTCCATGGAAACTTTTTCGCTAGCGGCTGCAAGCAAAGAGGGTGTCCTGCCTCCACCTGCACTCCAACTACAAATGCAGTTGGTGGAGGCAGGACTCTGACTCCTAACTGCCTCTCGACGGCACAGTTGCCAATGGTATCGGCAGCAGGGATAACATTTCTTTTAAAAGCAGCCAAGTACTACTGCCTGCACAGTGCTGACATGGCATAAAATCACAGGAGTATAATCGTGGCCATCATTATGGCAGCCAAGTTCAAGTAAAGGCCACTGACCACTGTAGTACACGTGGGTCTGTTAGACTAATGCCTGCTACCGCCTCTAACACTACTTAGCACCTAGCACAGGAGCATGCAAACACCTAATGATGATGATAGCACCCCACTATGCTGAAATCAAAACTAAATTTCAGCATAACATTCTTGGGACCCGCATATAGTGCGGGGCCGAAATTTCATACCCTAAAATCTATTATAAATAAAACGGGCTAAATGCAGGCTTTTATGGGATCGGGTATCAAGGAGAATGTGCTTAGCATAGGTCAGGGAACTCGCTCATGAGTCTACTCACTCGGACTCAGATCAAGCCGTGAGTCCGAATATGAGTGAGTCCGAGTGACTAATATTTTCGTGAGTCTGAGTCCGAGTGAGTTCAGTTGAAGAAAATTTTCCTGAGTGTGAATCCAAGTGAGTTCGACTCAGGAAAATTTTTGTGAGTCTGAGTTCTGGTGAGTCTAAAGCGCGAAATATATTTATTGAGCTTGAGTGGGTTCCACTTCCTTTTGCCAACCTAAGGTCCTATCTAGCCATCTTCACCATTACTAACAGCCTTACCTGGATTCAAGCTCACATCTTTTCACAGGTGTTCCCAAGCAGTGTCATTAGCGCACAATTTCAATATTTATTAATTAGAGGCATGAATTACGTAGGGGGTGCCTTGACCTTCCCTCAGAAACTCTTCCAGGGAAGTTTTTAATTATTATATCTTATGCTGTCGTCTCTTTCAAGAAAAATGACCTTACTGGTTTGGAAGCACTCGGAACTCGTTTTCAAAGATACTATGTCAAACGGCACCAAGAAGAGCACCAATTACGTGTGATATATGGGTTGGAAGTACATTTACACCAGGGTCAAAGACGCTAATTCTAGGCCGACGGACTCCTGAGTTGGCTCCCTTGGACTTGTTCAGATCGAGTCGTGAGTTTGAGTGAGTCTGGGAGAGTAATGTTTTTTGTGAGTTTGAGTTCAAGTGAGCGTTCGAGAAAACTTTCGTGAGTGTGAGTCCGACTCGGGGCAATTTTTGGGAGTCTGAGTGAGTGAGTTCAAATACTTCATGAGTGAGTCTGAGTTAGCTCCACAAGTTTTGCCGACCTTGCCTGCGACGTAATGCCAATGGGCAAAATGTGTTCCCCACTCACTTCTCATGGCTAGGGTCGCCACTAACTTTCGAGTGAAATTGGCCAAAAAATGAGCGAAAAGTCACCAAAAATTGTCATTTTTCTAAAAATTTTGCCAAAAATGTCGCTACTCTACATACGTATGCCTAATAATAAAAATTGCCAAATATGTACAGCCCCATAGAGTACAGTACCATCCATAACCCCTAAATTATATTGACATTTTTCTAATTCTAGTCTGATCACCTACTTCATCATGGGAGCACTGAGAAAGTGCATGCTTACACCAGCAGCGTCCCTACTGCTAGCGCATGATAACAAAAGTTGGTTTTTGTTTCAGATGTGGCGAATACTGCAGGACGAAGCAGTCACTACAACAAGACATAGATAATGTGCGTAGTCTTCCTCCAGATTTAGAGAATTTTATTGCATTGGCATACCTGCCATGTATCCCGGATTGGCTGGGAGACTCCTGGATTTTGACCGTTTTTTTTTTTTTTTTTTCGTTTGTACGGTTGTAATGAAAATCTCCCGGAAAGTGAACCCCGCAGGGGCGTCTGCGTACGCAGGCGTTTGGTGTGTAGCGACACCACGGACTCGAGCTAATGGGGGGGGGGGGGGGGTTCGACTTCCTCCCACGCCTAGCCGTGCGTGGCTGAGCGGCTGAGCCGTGTCCGGGGAAAGGGGGATCTTGGGGGTTGAGCTGACGCTGAGTGCTTGAACCTTTAAGGCCCCCTGGCGGAGGCAACACACCCCTTTGGCCCCGGCTTCACGTAGACGGCACTCCTGGGCTGAACCACCCTGGGGAAACCGGCGGTCGCCTTTTCCTATCTCTCTCTCCCTACATCTTCGTCTTTATCTCTTACTTTTTATCTGTCCTGTCATCTTCTCTTTTCCGTATACTTCCGAATTTCCTGGCAGCAAGGGTTAATTTTGTGTGGATACCCAGTCTTGGCTATTCCATATTAGGTTATAGCAGCGCTGTACAGCTGGCGTCGACAGGACTTGCCCAGCATCTCCTGCCACGTCCCCTGGTTGGGGTTGGTGGTGGGCGGCTAGCACCGCTGCCGAACTTTATAGTCAATTAATAACAAATGCTTTTCCCCCCCTCCCTGATCACTCCCTGAAAAGGTCGCACACCGAAGACACTTTCATGCTCAACACACCAAAAACAAGCTTCCCAAAGTACCATGTTATTCATAGCCAGAACGAAAAGAAGACAGTACGTACTTTTTCACCTTTGTGTCCAAAACTCTCACCGAAGCAATAGGTCCAGGCTATAAAGTCACAAAGATGGGAAGTGGCGATGTCCTTTTGGAGGTTCGTGACAAAGCTCAATCTGAGAAGATGTATAAACTTGTAGCATTTGGAGAAACCCCTGTTTCCGTGGGCCCACACAGGTCCATAAACACAGTACGCGACGTCATTTCTGATGACCTTCTACAACTCTCTGAAAGTGAACTATTAGAAAGAAGGCTGGCAAGACCAGAATGTAGTCAAGGTACAGAGAATCATTATACGACGAGACAAGAAAGAAACACTCACCAAACACATCATTGTCACCTTTGGTACTAGGGACTTACCAGAATCAATTGAAACCGGCTACTGTAAGCTCCGTGTCGGACCATATATCTCCAATTCTCGTCGATGCTTCAAGTGCCAACGTTTCGGGCACGGATCGCAGAGTTGCAGAGGGCGATTCACTTGCGCAAAGTGTGCATTCACTCAACACGTATCGGACGACTGCACCTCAGAAGCAACTCATTGTTCAAACTGTGAAGGAAATCGCCCTGCCTACTCGCATTCATGCTCCACATGGAAAAAAGAAAAACAAATAGTAGAATTCAAGGTCAAGGTAAATCTGTCATTCCAAGAGGCACGTAAACGTTTTTCACTGCACAACCCCTCTTATCCCTCCTTTGCAGATGTGACGC